CAGACTCCCTGCCGAGCAGGGAGCCCGATGTGGGACTCGATCCAGGGACTCTGGGATCATGACCTGAGCCGAAGGCAGTCGCTTAACCAACTGAGCCACTCAGGCGCCCTACCATATTTTCTATCTAGTTCTTTTCAGAAGAAGTATGCTGACCCCTAGTCGAGATTACCATTATTTAACCTGTAGAATGTCATTTGATAGAATTATCTTTCTTCTAAAATATTTATAAAATTTTAATAGTGAACTGGATGTTCCTTTCTCAATTTATGTAGTACATGATTTTTTCAGTTTGTTCCATCTTGGGTAAGGAATCAAACAGTACTCTGTAGGTAGATAAAATAAAAATAGTGCATTGTAACTTTGTATTTTCTTTAAAGGTTTATTTTAAAAAAACAACTAGTAAAATACATTGCTAACTTTATTTGTAGTGTTGTTATTCCATAGGCTTCCATTCTTTGTGTTAGTTTTTTATTTTTCCCTGTATGTGATGTATGTCATTTATCTTTAATATTTGAGAGAAATGATAATTTTGCACTTACATAAAAAGATTCTAACCTGGAACATGGGATGTACTTAATGTTCCTGCCCTGACGTTAGTGAAAACTGGGATGAGAAGAGTAATTTGAAAAAGCATACCCAACATATTTGTGGCTTTAATAATGGTACAGACTACAGAAAATAAGGCTCTAGAAAATGTGGACAGCCTTGGTTAAGAAAATCATAAAATTCTTTTAGAGAGTATTCTTCCAGTATTCTTAATTACAAAAATAAAGCTTATAATTTTGGTATACACTGTTGGCAGGTAGTGGAAACTTTTTTTTTTTAAAGTGGCAGCCAAAGGTAGTTCTAGTCATAGCTACTAATTCAATATCAATATGTGTATTTGTGTGTTTTTCTCATTGTATATATGCATATTCTCAATGAGAGTTATAGGACAACAAGTTAAGAAAATTTGTCTGCGAGATGTTAAATACTTATAACTAATCTATAAGCAGCTAGAGATTTTGTTGCTAGTGATATCAGTTGTGTGTGTGTGTGTGTGTGTGTGTGTGTGTGTGTACGTATGTCTAACTATATTCCGGCTGCACCAAGAGAATACCACAGACTGGGTAGCTTACGAACAGTGCAAATTTATTTCTCATGGTTCTGGAGGTTGGAAGTCCAAGATCAGGGTGCCCACAGGTTCAGTGTCTGGTGAGAGCCAGTTTCCTGGTGCAGAGACAGCTGTCTTTCCCTGTGTCCTCAGAGGGAGGAGAGGCCTCATTCGCAAGGGCACTAATCCCGTGCTTCAGGGCTCCACTGTCATGACCTAATCGCCTCCCAAAGGCCCCACCTCCTCATATCATCTCACTGGAGAGTAGGTTTCAGCAAATTAATTTTGGGGGAACATAAACAGCCCATAGCAGTGAATACACACACACACACTCACACACACAGTCACGTATATATGCTTATTTAAAAAGTACATATTTTTCAAATGTAGAGTATGTTATAATCCCTTACCTTTTATATTTGCTATTGACAGTTTTGAGGTTAGAAATCTAAATTTTATTTATTTATTTATTTGGTAAGCTCAGCACCCAGTGTGGGGCTCGAACTCATGACCCTGAGATCAAGAGTCATGTGGTCTACTGGCTAAGCCAGTCAGGCAACCCTGAAATCTGAGTTTTTATTAGCAGAAAAATGACCATGTTGCAAGCTATTAACATTACTTACAGATAATTCTAAACATTTTGAGGTGATGGATTTGGAAAAGAGAAGAATTGTCAATGAAACAATATAAAGAAATTAACTTGTCATGTACAAATAATTCATTTGTATACTTAAAATTCTAGTAGTTTTCAGGGTCTGAACTATTTGATTTAATTCTTTTTTAATAGCTTTTGAATTTTACATTGTAGAAATAAGTAAGATGTGCTTGTTACTTAAAAGTTTTCAAATAGTTCAGATGTGTAAAGTAAAAGTTTAAAGTTTCCTCTTCTAATTTCAACACCAGGTGTAACTATTTTTAACGGTTTGAGTTGTGGATACCTGCTCTGTATTTTTTTTTTTCAAAGATTTTATTTATTTATTTGAGAATGAGAATGAGAAAGAGAGAGCACGAGACAGGGGAGGGTCAGAGGGAGAAGCAGACTCCCCACTGAGCAGGGAGACCGACGCGGGACTCGATCCCGGGACTCCAGGATCATGACCTGAGCCGAAGGCAGTCGCTTAACCAACTGAGCCACCCAGGCGCTCACCTGCTCTGTATTTTTAAAACTACAAAAATATTCTTTAACTCTTAGTGACTTCTTCTTTTTTGTCTACAGATATTAAAATGCATGCTGTGGTGAAAAAGTTACACTTAATTGACAAGATAATTGAGTATTTAAATGAATGTGTAGGTCAGGATGGTGAGGTAAGACTAACAGTATATCTAGACATATTTTTACAGATTGGTATTTTTATTATTCAGATCTGAAACTAAATTCAGCTGAATTTGGGTAAGTACTTGGAGATTAAATCCTGATTAACACTGGGTACCTTGTTTGTTTATTTATTTATATATTTATTTTTAAGATTTTATTTATTTGACACTGAGAGAGAGAACACAAGCAGGGGGAGCAGGAGAGGGAGAAGGAGGCTCCACGCTGAGCAGGGAGCCTGATGCGGTGCTCAATCCCAGGACCCTGGGATCATGACCTGAGCCGAAGGCAGTCGCCTAACTGACAGAGCCACCCAAGGGCTCCCTTTTTTTTTTAATTTCTAAGAGGTGGGGGGTTTCCCTAAAGGAAAACTAAAGTTTTTTGGGATGTGTAAGCAGAAGTATATACAAAGCTTATTTTCAGTGGAAAATAATTCTTAATATTTATTTGCATTTTTGTTTTACACAGTTTTGATGAAAAAGCATAAAATTTAGAATAAGTTAATATTAGAGTATATTTTATCTTGCCTTAGAAGTGATGATAGTAAAATACCTGTGTTTTCCCTTCTGGCCAGGTCATAGAATGTTTGATTCAGCCATGCCTCACGCTCTTGAGGAAAGTTCTGTGTGCCGACCCGGTCATGCGCATGGCCCTCTCACAGCAGTCTTCTCTTTTGACCCTGTTATTCAGAGGTGAATAAAATAAAGTCTGCTAATAATGGGATCAGTCTTAAGCTTTAAGTGTTATGCTTTAACTGTAGGTCACATTTACTTTCTGTTTTACTAACAGAATAACAAAGTTTTTTAGTGAATGTGCTGCTGAGAATATCTGTTGCAATGGAAAGTGTTTCTTTTGTGGAAATTTCCTTGTAATCCTGTTACTGAGGAGACCTCAGAGCTGAGAAAGGCTGAAGCCTCTGATTGGTCTTAGCACATGGATGTGGCTTTCATCTGGTGCTCAGTTACCTGTTATCTATAAAGAGAGCAGGCTGCAGCTGCTGTCATTACGGCCTTCTCGCCCATATCTGTTTCCACAGTCTTGGTTTGCTTGTGCCTTTACATCCTGACCTGTGGTGTGGTATCTGATTATGTCATTAAACTGACAGTAAGAGTGTACATCCTGTCTGTGTGGAGTGGGAACTAGACCATCCTGAATGACTCTGAGCATTAGTTTATTATAGAGAGTGATTTTTTTTTTTTTTACCCATTTCAGTTTGGTTGTAATTTACTAATGTGTTTAGGTAGAAAAATTCCATGTAGTTTTGTTCTCTTTTTCTTCCTTCTGACTGTTTCAGTAGAGAGCTTGGTAACATTCTGTGCTATGTTCTTTCTTAGAAGTTTAGGCCACTGCTTTTAAATAATTCTACAAGATGCATCTTGATCAAATGCCTCAATATGCTTAACCTTGTTAATTATTATAAGTGATATTTATGTTCAAAATATTACTAGAATATAGGTTAGAATATAGTCATTTTATTTTAGCATTTTCATTTCTTCTGATGCCTTCAGCTTGCCAAGTGAAAAGGACACAGTTCATTTAATGTAAGCATTGAATATAAGCATTGGTAAAGGTCCAAACTAGGTGAAGTTCTAAACAGACTCAGCGTGTCCAGGCTCATGCAATCTTAAATAGTGTATAAAATTTTACAATTTTTAATAGATCTGGAAGAGTAGCAGTTGTGGATCTTGAGTTTTCTTTAGTCCTGTTAATTATCTTCCTAATAACCTCACTCAGTAGAATTTAGTCCCTAATTTACCTTTTCTTTTTTCTTTTAAAATTTTTAAAATTCTTATTTTTACAATTTTGATTTAAATTATTCAAGCATTCATGAGCACTTACTAGATTCAAAGGCACTTTCTAAGTCAGCAGCATCTGTACCCTTTTAGTATTAGCAATTTTTCTATTTCTTTGATGTTTGTGAGAACTATTTCAGTGAGTCTGAAAATGAATTACAGCATCTCTTATTAATGGATTTAGTTTCAGGGCAAAATTAGTTTTGTTTTTTTTTTTAAAGATTTATTTATTTATATTAGCACATGTGTGTCAGCAGGGTAGGGGAGGGGCAGAGGAAAAGGGAGAGGGAGAGAATCTCAAGCAGATTCCTGCTTAGCACAGAGCCCCACTCAGGCCTCTATCCCACAACCCTGAGATCATAACCTGAGCCAAAATCAAGAATCAGATGTTTAACTGACTGAGCCACCCAGGCCCCATGGCAAAATTAGTTTTTTAATCAAGTACTCTACCAGGAAATTCATTCCTCAGTAAATATTTATTGAGTACATGCTATGTGCTAGGTACAGCACTAGAGCCTTGAGATATATTGATGAGCTTGGTAAATGACCCTCTTGAAGCTTACAGTATAGTTGGAGACTTCAACAAATACACAGTAAGGCATAAAAATATTTATAATAGTGGAATTCCTGGTGCCAGAGGGAAGTGTTCCTGAGCAGATTGGGTGGTGGGAAAACATCAGAGGATGCTTCCAGAAAATGTGGATCCAAGCTGGAATTTCAGAAATGAGTGGTTCAATTAGAGAGGGTTGATTTCCAGATAGAGGGAGTCACGGTTATGTGTGAGAGAGAACGTGTGTTTGAAATGGTGGTTGGTCAGAAATGACTGGATTTGGGGGGCTTCTGGGGTGAGGGGAAGATGATGAGATGAGGCACGGAGGGCAGTTCATGCAGGGCCTGGTAGGTCACAGAAAACGGCACTGAGAAGCCATTTAAGATTATTACACTGAGAGTAATGTGTTTTAGATTTTTTTTTTTTTAAAGATTTTATTTATTTATTTGAGAGAGAGAGAATGAAAGACAGAGAGCATTAGAGGGAGGAGGGTCAGAGGGAGAAGCAGACTCCCCGCTGAGCAGGGAGCCCGATGCGGGACTCGATCCCGGGACTCCAGGATCATAACCTGAGCCGAAGGCAGTCGCTTAACCAACTGAGCCACCCAGGCGCCCTGTTTTAGAAAGATTATTCTATCCACAGCATGGAGAATAGATTGAAGGGGAGTAGCAAGTAATCTGCCAGACACACTGCTTTTATTATAAATTTTATGTCATGACAGAATCCTACCCTGACAGAATTGCATGGTGAGAAATTAACTTAGAACCCATTTATTACACCATTTTACAGTGAGGAAATTGAGATCTAGAGAGATTTATCGACTTGGTCAAGGTCATAACCAGATAATGGTGGAGGCAAGAGAACAACCCAAACTTCCTTACCTTTGTTGATTTGTTTTTGTTTTAAATAATTGCAGAACTTCTACATCCTTATTGTAAAAATTTGAACAGTATGGAATGATATAAAGTAAAATGTCAGAAGTTTTTTAAATTTTCTTTTCTTTCTCAGTTTCCCCAAAGAAGAATGTGCTAGGTATTGCTTGGCATATATCACTTAGAATGATCTTTTCTTTACACTCATGTTGTATTTTTTATGCTATATACTTAAGTATTGTGTTGCTTTTTTTCATCCGACAATGTATTTTGAATATCTTTCCATGTTATTACATGTGAGTCTGCCTTCTTAAAAAACACAAGATCAGAGAACTACTGCATAGTGTTTCAGAGTTTCAGTTTGCCATATTAATATTTCTCTCAGATTTAACTGTAATAGTAATCTTGTTTTATGATCATCTTGTGCATACTCTGTAATTGGAATTGCTGGGTCAAAGAGATTTTACAGGATATGATTTGGTTCCCCTCTACATCATTCCCACCAGTGGTATTTAAAAGTGCTTATTTTCCTCATAACCTTGATAACACCGAATGTGTCTCTTTTTTAGTTCTTTAATATTATTGGTGAAAATATTATCTCATTGTTTTATTTTTTATTTTTAAAACATTTTTAGTGCAGGTGATTATCTTTTCATGTATTTATTCAAATTTCTTATTCTATGAATTGCCTATTTTTCTGTTGCTTTTACTTTTTTTTAGTAACTTGTAGAGTTTCTTTATATAACATAAATATAAACCTTATGTCTGATTTTATGTTGATTTTCTTCCAACTTTTGTATCCTTTTTACTATATTTATTATTATATCTTTAGCCTTAAGTATTTTATGGAAGTATATAAAGCTTTTCTATTGTAGCAACTGAGGTTTCCATCATGCTCTAAAAGGAGGGCCTTCTCCAATTCTGAATGCAGGATTCTAAATAGGCTTCTGTTCTTTCTCTTAACATGTTTATAGTGTTGTTTAAAAAATTTAGATCTTCATGTAGAACTAATTTTGATAAATAGTGTAAGGTAGGGATCTAAATCTATTTTTCTTCATATTATAGGCAGTTATATTGCAGTAATTTCTTAGGTACTTGGAAGTATGATAGCTCATCCCACTGATATGAAGTGTCTACTTTATCACAAATTAAATTTTTACATGTATTTGTTTCTTTTTAGCTCATTGCTGTTTTTAATCATGTCAATTACATGTTGATATTATCCTTTTCTTAAGGTTAGGAAAAGTATCTTCTTTTGAAATTAATTTCTTTTTGCTACTTTCCTGGATTTGCTAACTCTGTATTATGTTATTATTCCTGTGTGATTGGTATCACCACCGTACCTATTTGATTAGAATTTCATAGTTATCAAGCACTGAGAAGTCGTAGCATTAGGAATGGTACCGAGGTGGAAACTAAGGCTTATTAATGCTACAGTATTTGACCAGGCCACTTTACTACTAGTATGTGATGGTGCTAGCTTTAGGTCTTATTAGTTCAGAGCAGCTTCCTTTTCCATTATCTTGTAATGAACAAGACATACGAATTAAAACAACACCAACACAAACATGGTGTTTTGAAGGCAAACTCAAGTTCTATGTTTGTGGGAATGGGCAGAAATGATCAAATAAGGAGATCTCTGAATGAGCAAACTTTAGCTGGAGGTAAAGGACTTGGCAGACCTCCCTAGAAGCTACATCACTTTGCTTTTTTGAGAAACTGAAAGTACATAGTATCTAGTGAGTGGATGGGCAGGTGCGTTTCCTGGACCGGCAGCGTGTGGGATTCACAGGCTCCAGCCCAAACCTGCTGAAGCAGAAACTCTGTTTTAACAAGCCCTCCTGACGATCCACATATGTCAGTGTATCTGGGTTCTTGTTGTAATTCTCTGAGAATGACATCTCTTCCCTTGGAGTTAAGACATTTTAAATTTGAAGTTCATTTTTCTAGAGGTAAAAATATTTCATGAAGTTATGCTTCTTTTTATATCTTAGTTTCGTTGATATTTCATGAAAATTGTGCTGTTGTGACTGAAGTCGGAGCATTATTTTGTCTTCTGTTATTTGATGAAGTATCAAGAATGGATATGTGGTGAGCTATAAGGACTGTAAAACTTTTTTACTCTTAATTATAAGATTTCTGATGCAATCTTATAGCAATGTATGAAAAATTTCTGAATTATGAAGCTTATGCTTTCCATTTTGGTTTGAGTAAGCAGTATCAAAGAGCATATTGGCTCAGAAAGTCCCATGAACTTATTTATTTATTTATTGATTGTTTGTTTGTTTGTTTGTTTATTTATCAGAGAGAGAGAGAGAGCACAAGGAGGGGGAGAGGCAGAGGGAGAAGCAGGCTCCCGGCTGAGCAAGGAGCCTGATGCGGGACTTGATCCCAGGATCCTGGGATCATGACCTGAGCCGAAGGCAGACACTTACTGACTGAAACACCCAGGCGTCCCTCCCATGAACTTTTAATTTGAACATTACTAAGCATAAAATTAAAAAAATTACTGCAGTAATTTTTGTCATTAATACATTTTTCAGTATATACTTTTCTTTAATATTTTATTAAAAAACCTTTGGAAAGATGTTTAGGATGGTAATATCTGACTAACAATGACCTTGAGCAAGATCCAGTGGGAGGGGGACACAGATTCACCTGCCAGTACAGTGCCCACATTAAATGAGTAATTTATTATATGGACTTCCTAAGCACTAGTTTACTCTTTAGAAGCAAATCTAGGTAGTAGAAAACGTGTTGTAACTATACAAATGATAGAGCCAATTGCAACTCTTATTTGGAGATTCAGTCAAGGAGCAAATTGTATTTGTTGGATAAAACCATGGTTTACTCATTTGTTTCTTTCCTTTTGTGTGTGTGTGTGTTTTTAATGAAATAGGTCTGTTAATCCTTCCAATAAACCTGCACCTTCGGTCTTCAGTTTGCCTGTCTCAGTTTTTAGAAGGTAAATGATTTATTGTTTTGACTTTTTTTGAAGGTAAACGGTTTCAGGAAGGTTCATCTGGTATTTAAATCACATGACTTGTAGTGTTTTAATGTTTCCTCACAGTGGTGCTTCGGAGAGTTCAGTAAATGCATTTCCCCTTCCCCATCTTTCCATCTGGATATGGTTCAGGTGTACAGAAAAGGTCGAAGAACTATGCAGTGAACGTGTGCTTACTCTCTTGCTTACTCTCTCAATGTATTTATTTATTTATATGTAATTTTTCTCTGATGCATTTGAAAATAAGTTTCAGACATAATTTTACTTCCCTCCTAATTATTCCAGCATGTACCTCCTTAAATTAAGGACACTCTCCTATATAACCACTGTACCATGCATGATCACATCTAAGAAAATTAAAAATAATTCTATAACGTGATCCAATTTCTCAAGTTATATCCAAAATAGTAATTACTCTTGGAGGAGAGCAAGGGGAGTAATTGATATGAAAAGGGAACAAAGAAACTTTCCGAAGGGATAGAAATGTTCTGTAGTTTATTCTGAGTGATGGTCATACAAATGAATGCAAATGTAAAAATTCATCAGGCTATATATAAAAAGAAAATCTGTATAATTTAAAGATAAGTAAATTATGTCTTAATAAAACTATGATTAATTTATAAATAACATTCCATAATTTGGTAGGTCTTATTACATGTACTATAATCATTTTCATTGCTGTATAATACTCTTTTGTTGTATTTATTTACCACAGTTTATTCATTCTCCAGTCAGAAGGTATTTGGGTTGATTCTGGGTTTTTGTTCCTGTACCCACTCCTATAAACATGTATGTTTCCTGGTATAGTGTGTAAGAGTTCCTTTTAAATATATTGTTCAGAGTGAAATTCCTTGTTTGTAGACATCACCCACTCTTCATGGTCTTTAGATTTGGCTAAGTAATCAAACTCACATGACTTAAAATAGGCCTTGCTTGGAATGAGATTCCATGTGTGGGTGCTGGGAGCTGTCTCGGCTTAGAAGACCTGTGTGCTAGTAGGAAATAACTTCTTGAGCTGAGGGTGCCACAGGCATAGTTTCCAGGTCCCCCCCCTCTTACACGTGACATGTGTAGAGCCTCGGCACTAAGCGTTGCTCAGGGCCGCGGTTTCCCATCATGCGTTTATGGTTTATTCCCACACCTCCCAGCCCAGACGTGAGAGTCATCTTTACCGTAAGCACAAACAACAGCTCAGTAATATTGTTGACATTCCATATCTATTTGGTTGTCCTGGGGCAAAGGGCCAGAATTCGCTCAAGATAAAATTTGTCCATAGAGAAGAACCAAGGTTTTGTTATTCCTTTACTCAGTAATGTTGTCATTTTAAAAATTGTTGCCTGTCTGGTGGATGTGTAGTGTTTTTTCAAACTGGTTGTGATGTATTACCCTGCACTTTTCATTCCTTTCTTCCTTCTTGTTCTTTGGGCTTAATTTGCAGTTCATTTTCTAACTTACTAAAGAATTCCCCATTAATCAGTTGCCTTGCCTTTTTTTATTCAGTGCGAGTCCTTTCAAGTGGGCTCTGTGTCCTTTTGTCAAGGCCCCATGAGTCTGTTAATATTTTTGTGTGTTTTAGTACAAAGAAATATCCAAGAATCACCTTTTATTTCCCTATTTGAGACCTAGTGTTAGCCATTTATCTAAGGATTCTTGGTTACTTTTGTGGAAAATTTCAGTTTTTAAAAGTATTTTCTTAAACTATTCAGCCTGCTTTATATGTAGAACTCTCCCTTAACTTCTTTATTGAGACACGTGAAATGAAAAAGCACAGTAAAGTTCCCCTGAGAAATCTTACCCAATTGTATTTATCTAATATTAGTCACAAATATGTGAATTAGGGGTTTGGGATATGTTTTTTTATCAAAATTATTTTTTAACATTTGAACATGCTAGACGTTATTGTCCTGTAAAACACTGTTAAACTTGGACTGTTTAAGAGCTGTTGCTATTGTATCTGTTCTTATATCTAAAAATATTTCTGGGTCTTCTTGGTGACACCGGTGGTTGAGTTTATTGATGATGCAGTTGTGTTCAAGTAAAAATATTAGGTTGTGATTTTGTCACTTAGTGATTCCTGTGAACATAAGGCAATTCATTTAGTCTCTTTAATACTCATTTTGATTATCTGTAAAATGGGTATCAGTGCCATGCATGGAACTGAATGAATGGTGGGGAATATACAGCGTTTGGCATAAAGTAGGTGCTCATGTTCTAGCTGAAACCCTTTATGTGTGACTCACTGTAGCTGCAGGCCTTGACCTGAAGGGGCATTAGTCATCTCTGCTAGCAACCCCAACACAACACAGAATAGGGAAGTCTTCACGCAAGAGTTTAAAAAGTATTTTTGGGAGTTTAGAGGATGGCAAAAGGATAAATGAAATAATATGTACAGCATAACTTCAAAATAGGGGCTGTGAGAGTGAACTCCGTTATTGTGAGAACTAGCCCTCATTTATAGCTCATCCTTTTATCGTAGTGTTTAAGAATTTCAAAGTTCATAATGATTTGTATACATTTTCTTTAGGTATCATCTACCAGCGCATGTAGTTGGCCACCATGCTGTGAGTCCTTACTCCATAGTTTTGCCATTATCTGCTGATTGTTTGGCCTTGAAGCCGGTCTCAGACATGCTGAGAATAGCTTGGAACTTGTCCTGGTATCATGGGAGTGATAATCTGTTGAAGCAAATGAATTCTGAACCTAAAATCCAAGAGTAAGCTGTTATGTTTAGTTGAAAAAGTGTTCATATTTAACAAATTATAAGTAACTAGTTTGGTTTTATTTTTCCTTTAGGTCAAGTGGCTTTTTTACTTGCTACCATCTGATCTTGTTTTTCCACTGATTATTATAATTTTTACTTTGTTTTAAAGATTACATGTGTTCATTACTTTTTAGAAACTATCACACAAGGAAGTTTTTTTTTTATTATGTTATGTCAATGACCATACATTGCATCATTAGTTTTTGATGTAGTGTTCCATGACACAAGGAAATTTAAATTAAAAAGCATGTGCTCTGTGCTGTTTTAGAGATTATATAAAGTTTGGTTAGTTATTATTTTTAAAATTTTTATTTAATTTTTTTCAGAGAGTGCACACACACAAGCAGGAGTTGGGGGGCTGGGGGGCAGGGAGGTGCAGAAGGAGAGGGAGAGAGAGAATCTTAAGCAGGCTCCATACCCAGCACAGATCCTGACACAGAGCTCGATCTCACAACCCTGAAATCACGAACGTAGCTGAAACCAAGAGTCAGACCTTAATCAACTGAGCTACCCAGGCACCTCAAGTTTGGTTAGTTAATGGATATAAATCTCTAGGGAAAGTAGTCTGGATTAGAGTCAAATTTCAGTAAGTATATATGTAAATGTTATCATTGCTCTGATGATGATGTAGATTACTTTGGAATATCCTAATATTCTGATCTATCATTGCTTTCTTGTTTGAATGAAAGTTATATTTCTGTAAGCAGGAAAATGTCTATACAAACACTTAGGATGCTAACATAAAACTCTAATTGACAGATATATACCAGATTTTCTTTTGGCCCTGAGTCAGCCTTTAAAATGAAGATAAAACAGTTTTTTGGAGAGAGTTTATAATAAACCTAAATGTGAACTTTTATTTAAATAGTTTTATGTTGCTCCTCCTTTGTTTCTTTTTGTTTAGATTTTCAGATGCATTGAAGTTACACACAGAGGACACCCTTGCTCTGCAGGTGACACACACAGCTAGTGCACTGAGGGACTGTCTTCGTTCCATCGTCGAGGCTGCAGCTCACAGGGAAGTGAGGGCTGCTATCACAAGCATGAGTTTTTATCTTCTGAATGACAGGCTGTCTTTAAAGGGTGGTGCTGGCCCATGTGGGGTGACCTTGAAGTGTTTGTCTTGGCACACCACACTGAACAGGTCAGTATATACAGCTCAGGGCTTCCAGTTTCAAAGAGCAGGATTGAATCGTATTTGGGTCTATCTCCGTATCTTTGAAGATAAGAGCATGTATTCTTGTTGCTATCGTTAGAGAAATGTTTTTTTTTTTTCAGTAAGAAAAACTGGGATTTTCATTATGTGTAGTAAATATCTAAGAATAGCAAAAGAGAAAAATTTTCTTAATCACTGCATTTTGGAATTAATAATAAACAATACTGTTTTTACATCCTATCAGAAAATCTTATTTCACTATCTCACAAAAGCAGATGATTAGGATAAGACATGGTTGGACAAAATGAATGTTTATTGCTGTCCACATTGTAAGAGAGCCAAGACCATTAGTGAATTGACGGAGAAGTTTGGTACACCTGCAGTGGGCTGTTTTGTTTTGTTCTTAAGAAAATTCTCCTGCTTTTCTTTTTACCCTGAATTTCATGAAGTTGATTGCCATGTGTGGAGATCCTTTAGTAGTTACTGGGAAGCCTCTAGCTCATAAATTCCACATGTTTCACTGGTAGCAGATGGCTGCATCGGAGACAAGACGGACAAGCAGCCATTGCCAGTAGCTTTCCATTTTAATCTTCGTGTGAATTTAGTGTAAGATGTATAACTTTCTGTTAAACATAATGTGTGCAGCTTTCAAAGCGTGAGGTTAAGTGAATTTCCGAACTGGGGACTCAAAATGGGTCGCTCACAATTCAGATACCTAATTTGGCTTTTCCGCTGGTGTGTGTTGGAATCAGCCAGTGCTTCCTTGTGAGAGAGGTGGCAGTTGAGTATCAGGGTTTTTGTAAGTTAGTTGTTAAAACACAGCCATTCTTAAAAATGAAATTGCGTGAACTTACAGTTAAATTCTAAGAAAAATAAAAGTAATGATTATGTGAATATCATCACTTCCTGATTATTTTGAACATGTTATTGACACCTGTGTTCTTGAGGTGATTCATACCTATTATGTCTGTTGTGAAAAGGCCACACAATGGTGTACTGCTGTGTTGTCTCTCTGTGTGTTATGTTGGTGGCTCGCAGTCAGCAATGGGGGAATGTTTGCACTATGAAAACTGGCAAACACAAGAAATCCTCCCACTCCTTACCTGGTTGTTAAATATTTATCAGCACACCACTTACTGTAAAGAGCTAGAAACCATGATAATTGTCTTTTTTATTGTAGGTTTTTACAGGTGCTTCCTGCTTGCACTGAGGATGAGAAACTGCTAATAGATATCATACATTTCTTAAATAAGTTATTGAAGGAACAAAGAAAAAACTCATCAGTAGAACTTCTAAACTGGCTTCTAGAATTACTTCTTAGACATGTAAGTGTTATTAAGGAATTGGATTTTAGGTGTGAGAAATAATTTGTAAAAATTAGTAATGCTATGTAATGAAAAAGCATAATTTTTATATAGCCCATGTTTAGTAAGTAGTCTTCATGTTGTATGAAAGTGTTTACTTAAAACTTTGGAGTAGAGAAGATTTTTTCCAAGAAGTTACATAAGGTAGAACCTATAAAGAAATCTATAAATATGATTACTTTATAAAAATAACGTGGCAGTGAATAAGACAAAAAACCTGTCCTCGTGGAGTACATTCCAGGGGGTGGAATGGACAGAAAACAAAGATTTTCTGCAGGTGGGAGCAATAAGTGTGAAGAGGAAACATAGATAATGAGACAGAGCTAGGTAGGCATGGTGGGATGCTACTTTAGACATGATGGTCAGAGAAGGCTCGCCTCTTTGACTAACATTTGGCCAGGGCACTGAGTTCAGTGTGGGAGTCAGCCATATAGGTATCTAAGGGAAGAGCGTTCTAGGCAGAGAGGAAAAAAATGCAAAAGCACTTAGTTGTCAGGGCCATGTTTGAAAAACAACTAGAGGTCCATGTGGCAGCAACAGGATGAATAGAGTATAGTGGTAGGAGATGAGATCAGAAGGATATTCAGAATCAAGCTCAAATAGAACCTTGTAGGCTATGGAGCTTAACCTATATGAGAGAGAAAGCAGGTGGAGGGTTTTGAGCAGAAGAGTTACATGCTGTGACTTAAGTTTAAGAAGATCCTGGCAGCAGCTGTCTCTGGAACCATAGGTAGAATGAATGGAAGCTGGGAGGCCTACAGTAACCCAGGAGAGGGATGGTGGTAGCTTGGCCTAGAGTGGGAATGGGCAAGGTGGTGGAGAAGTCAGCTCTCTCGCTCTCGCTCTCTCTCCCCCTCCTCCTCCTCTCCTTCTCTCTCTCTCTCATACACACACCTGTAGGACTGTGACTAAGTGTGGAAATTATGGTCCTGGACTACAATTTAAATGTTATGAAAGATGAAAAGCAAAAATAGCATCACTAACAGAAGCTCGGAGATGAAAGGGGTAGATCAGATAGGAACATAAAATACGTCCAAAATACCATAAGCAAGGTGCTATGTGTACATGACTCTGTGATTGGATTTTGTATTATGTTCTTTGATATGCCTGTGTTTTCTGAAAAACTACACTTTTAAATTATCATAGCAAGTTTTTCTTTAATAAACTTTATTTTTTATATTTTTCTCTGGCCATTTTTTCTTTCAGATTAACTTTATTTTCAATTTGTGTAACTTACAATGAAACAGTTATCCAGTAGGAGGGTATTTATATGTACGTTTTATTGACTTCTGTATGTATGGCAAGAAATACTTTAAATATAGTTAAAAAGACATGATAAACTGAGAAAAATATTTATAACACAAATGAGAGATGATGGACTAATTTCCTTAAAGTACATAATAAGTGAAGCCTTAATAAGATGATTGAACTCCCAGAATACTTAGACTTATAAATTTTGCTCTCCTTTTATATTCTTGAGGATGATTTCAAAGTACCATATTTACTGTACTTTGATTTTCTTGTATCATTTAATTGTTAAAATTAGCAAACATTTGGAGGCAGTTATTTTCTGACCATTTTTGATAAAGCAAAACAGTAAAACCTTATGTCACTATAGTTCCTCCTTCAGCTTTTAGGCATGCTTAAATATTTTAGAGATTGGATATTAAAATATTATTAAAAGAATCTTATGAAGCTTTTCCTCTGAGTTTTTTGATAAATCGATTTTTGATCTATAAATTTTTTATAACTTCATAATCTTTTTAGTCATTTTTTAAAAAGGATAATTTCTAAAACAGTCTCCTCCTTAGGTTGAAGTTCTTGGATTCTGAGAGTTATGGTTGCTTTGGGTTGTGAAAATAGCAGTTATAGTGGGCTTAGGTAGAATCTTTTCTTGAAACTCTGTGTAATAATTCAGTGTTTGCTTAGGAGACTTTGTACATGGTATATATGGTAGAAAAATAACTATGCATATTAAAATATATTCACCTAAATTATGTAACTATAGTTAAAACTTTACATTTATTATGAATTTTATAGTATGTCATGAGTGCTGATGCATATTTTATAATTTATTGATAGTTTTGAAATTAAAATGAAATTTCTACAAAATTCTAAATGATTGTACTGTAATTTTCATGCAGTTTTAGAGAAGGATTTTTGGTATAATTAAATATATTTGACTTTGTATGGTATCAAGGCTGTCTTTGGAAAGCTTTTACTTTGTCTCATATGTTATCATCACTGGTGTTATGAATAACAATAGAGTGAGCAAAAGGTGAGCAGTGGACTTAAGCATCCACTATTAAGAGAGTTTACTCTCTGTCATGCTACAAGGATTAAATTATTAAGTGTTATGTAAAGAGTAACGTTCAATATAAAGGAAGCTTGAAAGTAAAGTCAAATGCCTTTTAATCATCTGAAATGGGTAAAATAAGTGAGAGATGATTTAAGAAGGTCAGTAAAATAGTATTTCCAAAGGAGTTGTTTTCAATGTATGGACATAATATGAAAAAGTATATAAAAGCCATGGCAAAAACTAGTAAAATTAGGCAGAATACTTGAATACTTGATCAGGCAGAAGATTGCGAATAGGAAGTATAAAGAAAAATCAGCTAACTTAATGAGGGAAGATTGAGAAACTTTCTCTTGTGAAAAATTTGTATGTTTTATTGGAACATCCATTTGTTACAAATATTTTAGGCACTTAGGAATTTATGACACCACTAATTTACATTTTGATGTAATGATGATTTTGTTAATATATATAAAATCACCTAGAAGTGCTGAGTTTGAATACCTTTCTTTTCAGAATGAGTTTTTTGAGGGAAGGTCATAAAAGTGGGGCTGTAATTTTTTTTGGGGGGGGTAGGCTATTCAGAACTATTCAGCATATGTCTCTCTGTGTTGGTCGACTTTCACAGGCACATGTGCACTGAGAGTTCATGGAGGGCATTGCATGTCCTATTGTAGGTTGCTGATGGATGGTAAAGTGGATGTGATGAGTGGTAACTGTGTGGTTAAAGAAAATGAGCCATTATTATAGAAATTGTTGCTTTTTGGAGGTTGGCGGTGACAAAGTAATGATAATGGTAGTTGGTTTAAAATTGGGATTGAATACTAATGTCTAAAGACAAAACCTTCACGTATGATTAAGCACTTGAGATCAGTAGGCATCAGTAGAGAGACATCTCTTTATTGTATATGAGGAATGGTAATTCGTCCCATATTTTAGAAGTGATGTTGCTGAGGTTCACTGAATCTCAATATTAACATGTAAAGTTAGAAAGGGAAGAAGATCTCAGCAAGTACTAGCATAAACAAGTTATTAACAATGAGGTTTTTGGGAAGAAACTTAGTTTTAGGTGTATACGTACTGTAACATATTAATCTATCAGTCAGGAGTTTCTACTTAATTTTTATGGGTATATCAGGATTAATAATTCCTGATAGTAAAACTATATTTTACCAAGATGGAGTTTACATTAAAAACAACTTTCTTATTTTGTCAGTATTTATGGGACTTGGAGGGAAGGTGAGTATAAGTCAGCCTTTGGTTATTTGGGTCTAAGAATACTATAGAGTATGGATATTTATTTTTATGATTTTATTAAATGTGTATTTTGATTGTTTTATTCCTATATAAAACATAGAAGTTGTAGTCATGTTTTATGTAATTTTATTTGATCCAAATGAGGTACTTCTTGTTCAGGATGAAAGGAAAGCTGAAAAAAAATGCTGCTTAGGTATGAAACATAGTAAAGTAAGTTAAAAGTAAATTGGGGACATCTGTCCCCAATACTTTCTAAAAGCTCTCAGTTGTATTCTTTATAATTGTGTGTACCTGATTGAAGTATTCTGTATGTACTGCATAATATAAACAAGCTAGAATTTTCTTCCCATTTTTTCATTTCCACAAAAAGAATGCAGTTATTTTTTAATTGAGTTCTTTAGGTGAAGGATTTCATAACAATCATAATTACATCTTGATTTTATCTTTTTTGTATGTTATAATATGCAGAATTGATGTGACATAATATGGGGGACAGAATATTAGCTAGCTTTGAAGTAAGATGATTCTCAGGTTGAATCCTTGCTTTGTTCATTCATATGACTATGGACAAGTTATATAACCTCTTTATAAACCCCTCTTTGCCTATCTGTAAAATATGAAAATGCACATCTTCTAGTTTAGTCAAAAAGTGGAATCTTTTTTTTTAAATTTTATTATGTTATGTTAGTCACCATACAATAAATACATCATTAGTTTTTGATGTAGTGATCCACGATCCATTGTTTTCGTAGAACACCCAGTGCTCCATGCAGTACTTGCCCTCCTTAATACCCATCACCGGGCTGACTAATCCCCCCTCCCCCCTCCCCTCTAAAACCCTGTTTGTTTCTTAGGTCCATAGTCCCTCATGGTTCATCTCTCCCTCCAATTCCGCCCCCTCATTTTTCCCTTCCTTCTCCTGATGTCCTCCATGCTATTCCTTATGTTCCACAAGTAAGTGAAACCATATGATAATTGACTTTCTCTGCTTGACTTATTTCGCTTAGCATAATCTTCTGCAGTCCCATCCATGTTGATGTAAAAGTTGGGTATTCATCTTTTCTGATGGCTGAGTAATATTCCATTGTATATATGGACCACATCTTCTTTATCCATTCATCTGTTGAAGGGCATCTCGGCTCTTTCCACAGTTTGGCTATTGCGGACATTGCTGCTATGAACATTGGGGTGCACGTGACCCTTCTTTTGACTACGTCTGTGTCAAAAAGTGGAATCTTGTTTTCTTTCTCTTTTTAGCACAGTGCCTATGCCGTTTTAGGTGATCAGTAACTATTCTGTATATCTTTAATGCCATTTGTTAATATAACATTTTCTACTCTTAGTATTATTAAAAATAATTACATTTCTTTAGCTACATTTTTTTTAAAGTTGGAAAGCAGGAAGAAATTTAAGTAGTACTAGTTTTATTTATCAGCCTATCGAATTGGCAAAGATTGCATCAGTAATAATGCTCAGCATTGGTCTTCCCCCACCCTGCTTAGTTGTATGTATTTGTACACGTTTTGCAGAGACAGTTTGGCAATATATGTTGAAAGTATTAAAACAATTAAAGCTATTTTTGCTTAGAATTCACACAGGATATAATCAGAGTTGAACACCCTGCTGCACAGCTCAGTGAAATTAGAAATCACCCATTCTTTAGTAGCTGGTGTGGTAAATCCTTGTGGTTGAAAAATAATCAGATAGTAAAATAATTTTTTTGAAGAGATACTGATAACATTAAGTTAAAAAAGGGGTAACAATAGTGGGTTTTTTCACTTGATCTCAGTTTTGTTAGAAATACGGAATTACAATTGTGTGTATGTTTATATGCACACAAAAAGAATAGTGTGCACCAATAAACTAATAGAGACTGTCTCTGTGAAGTGTGATCATGGTGGTTTTTGTTTTTCTCTGTGTGCTTCTCTATATTATACTCAGTTTTCTATAATAGATGTGCTGTTCTTTTGTCAAGATAACCTATGAAGCACCTTTTGAGTTTAGAACATAACATCTCTATTGATGCACTAGAGACCCATACCGACTGGCTGGGTAATATAACTCTTAGGTAGTCCAGAATGTGATATGTAGCAAAAATCTCTATAGGAAACAACACACAGCTCAATTAGAGAGTAAATACGTTTTTTTACAAATATATTTTTTAGAGTCCAAACCCATTATTAGACCTGCTGGTTCTGACGGAGTCACAGGCAGGAGAGGAAGCGGATGACATCCGGACTGCTGTCAGGCAACAGCTCCAGAAAGAACTGATTGCTCTTTTCAGTACCTTGCTTCTCAATGTCATGGCAGTTACTGACAGGTACCGTTTGTCACTGAAGGTTTGGGGACATTGATATAGAACCTAGTTTCCTTTTGATTTCTAAATCAAGGAAGAAAGAACTCAATAATAGTCAGTTGTGGTCTGTTTGTTTTTATTTCAGTGGAATCTCTGGTATAGCCTGATTGTAATTTCATACACACACACACACACACGCACGCAGTATTTTGCTGTCTCTAGGTTTTAGGTCTTAGTCCTCTCTTAATTCTCTGAGCAATTATACCCATTTCTATGACTTTATGACTGTTTTTGCATAGATGATTTTTAAGTGTGTATCTATAATTCTGACTTAAAATTTTTTTTAATTAGATAAAATTTACTATTTTAACCATTTTAAAGTACACCGTTGAGTGGTTTTAATATGTTCACAATGTTGTTCAACTGTCACTATTTAATTCCAGAATATTTTCATTATTCTGGAAAGAAACTTTGTACCCATTGAGCAGTTCCTCCTCATTTACCCCTTACCCAAGCCTATGGCAACCACTAGTCTTTCTGTCTCTATGAATTTGCTTATTCTGGACATTTTATATAAATGGAATCAGACATATGTGATCTTTTGTGTCTGATTTCACATTGTGTTTTCTTTTTTTTTTTTTTCACATTGTGTTTTCAAGGTCCATCCATATTATAGCACATATCAGTGCTTGTTTCTTCCTATAGGTGATTAATATTCCATGTATAGATATACCACATTCTGTTTATCCATTTTTCTGTTGGTGGACATGTGAGTTGTTTCTACCTTTGATTATTATGAATACAACAGCTATAAACATTTGTGAACAAGTTTTGTGTAAACACATGTTTTTAATTCTCCAGTATATACTTATGACTAGAATTGCTGGTTCATGTGGTAACTCTATGATTACTTTTTTTTGAATTTTGTTTTCCATAGCAGCTATACCATTTTACATTCCCACCAGCAATGTATGAGTGTTCTAATTTCTCAACATCTGCCCTAATACTTCTTATTATGGCTATCCCAGTGGTGTAAACTAGAATCATTTTGGTTTTGATTCCATTTCCCTAATGAGAAATGATGTTGAGCATCTTTTCATGTGCTTAATGATTATTTGTTATCTTCTCTGGAGAAATGTCTATTCAAGTCCTTCACCTATTTTTGCATTGGGTTGTTGTTGTTGAGTCATCTTTACATATTCTGGACATCAATCTTTTATCAAATATGATTTGCAAAATTTTCTTCCATTCTGTGGGTTGTGTTTTAACTCTTTGGATAGTGTCCTTTGATGTACAAAAGTTTTTTTATCTGCAGGTCTTCCTGTGCTCAGATCCCAAATCTCTGCTGGAAGGAAAGACCTGATCCCACACACATGACGTTTGAAACAACTAAAGTGTCAAAACAACCCTAATTCAGCTCAACACCTGACTAGATCTCAAAGATCGGCCTCTTAACCAAATCTTGTGACCAAATGGCAAACCATTTCTATGGGAAATTATTACGTACTTTGCTTTCAGTAGCTCTTATATACAAATATTTGACATACAATCACAAATGGAGAGAATTATAAAGTAGGAAAACGTCTCCTGTAATTAAGAGAAAGAAGTCATTAGAAACAGACTATCAAATGTCAACTATTAGAGGAACTTTAAAGCTATTATTATAAATAATATTTTCAATATAAATTAGATGAAAAGATGGACAAGATAAGTAAAAATATGTAGAATATCAATAGCAGAGAAATGGAAACTGCAAAAAAGAACTAAATAGTAATTCTGCAACTGAGAAATACAGTTTCTAAAGTAAATAATTCATTGCATGGGCTTAGCAGCAGACCAGACACAGTATAAAAGAGGATTAGTAAATTTAGAATACAAGTCAATATAAATTTCACTAAAAAGGGTCACCTAGGGACCTTCTGAGGTGCTGAGAATGTTTTATATGTTGTTACGCTTGGTGGTTACATGATTATATACATATGTAAACCATCCTGTAGTGTATATATAAGATTTGTGAATTTTACCTCATGCATTTGTGCCTCATCAAAGTACTGAAGACAAGAACAAAGTGAATCCATTGATAGTAGACTCTGGAATGTGTATAGAATCTCTTGGGGAGGGGGCTTATTAAAATATTAAGATCAGTAGCTCAGGAATCTACATATTAAATAAGTGCCATAGGTAGTCCCTTGGGCTAAACTTTGAGAAACAGTGCAATGGACTGTTCTTTGGGTGAATGTTCTCTGGATGTGGAGCGGAACTTGCGGTAGGGAGGATGAGACCATTTGGGTGTGGAGCTTGGGGAAGGTTCACAGGGACCAGGAGAGGGAACTGGTTGGTGGCAACTGTGCCAGGTTGAACTGGGGTTGGGTAGATATTTGCAGAGGCACCATTGCCTTTGATGGTATAGCTTTTCTTTTGGAGTGGTTGAGGTAAAAGGAGCAGAAAATGAGAATGACTTTTATGTTAATTTTAAAAAACAGAAGGGACACAGGGACGCCTGGGTGGCTCAGTTGTTAAGCGTCTGCCTTCGGCTCAGGTCATGATCCCAGGGTCCTGGGGTCGAGCCCCGCATTGGGCTCTCTGCTCGGCAGGGAGCCTGCTTCTCCCTCTCCCACTCCCCCTGCTGTGTTGCCTCTCTCACTGTCTCTCTCTCTGTCATATAAATAAAATCTTTAAAAAAAAAATTTTATCATGGGCGCCTGGGTGGCTCAGTCGTTAAGCGTCTGCCTTCGGCTCAGGTCATGATCCCAGGGTCCTGGGATCGAGCCCCGCATTGGGCTCCCTGCTCAGCGGGAAGCCTGCTTCTCCCTCTCCCTCTGACCCTCCCCCGAACTTGCTTGCTCGCTCTCTCTCTTAAATAAATAAAATCTTAAAAAAAACCAGGAGAACATTTTTAATACTATTAATTAGATTACAAGTGATCCTTGCACAACACAGGTTTGAACTATGTGGGTCCACTTATACATGGATCTTTTGGGGATAAATACAGTATAGTACTGTATATGTACTTTCTTTTATGGTTTTCTTAATAATATTTTCCTTTCTTGGGGTGCCTGGCTGGCTCAGTCAATAGAGCATGTGCCTTTTGATCTTAGAGTTATGATTTCAGGTCCCATGTTGGGTGTAGAGCTTACTTAAAAAAAAAAAACAAAACAACTTTCTTTTCTCTAGTTTGCTTTATTGTAAGAAAACAGTATATAATAACATATAACATACAAAATACATGTTAATTGACTTTATGTTATCAGTAAGGCTTCTGGTCAACAGTAGGCTATTTGTTGGATTTTTGGAGAGTCAAAAAGTATATGAGAATTTTTGACTGCACGTGGGGGTCAATGCCCCTTACCTCCACGTTGTTCAAGGTTCAGCTGTACTTTGTTGTTAACTCGTGAGGAATATGAATTTATACAAATAACCTTTAGGCTTTGGTGTAAATTCTGTGTGTTTCTAAAACTTTAAAAACACCTAGATGACAGGTATATAAAAATTATGATCTTTAAATCATACAACTATACACCTATAATACTGTGATGGAATGGGTAAAAATATAGGCAGTAGTTGTCAATTTTGGAGTCTAAAAATCTGTAAAACTGAGAAAATTTCAGATTTTATTTGATGCTTTGTTATACAATGATGTTACTTCTTCCAGCAATTTCATCTTTGTATCCATGCCTACTTATTAGTTTCAGGGATTTTGTTTTCTTTCTTTTTTTTCTCTCTCTTTTTTTAAAGATTTTATTTATTTGACAGAGAGAAAGAGAGAGACAGCGAGAGAGGGAACACAAGCAGGGGGAGTGGGAGAGAGAGAAGCAGGCTTCCCGCAGAGCAGGGAGCCCAGTGCAGGGCTCGATCCCAGCACCCTGGGATCATGACCTGAGCCAAAGGCAGACGCTTAATGACTGAGCCACCTAGGCGCCCCAGGGATTTTGTTTTCTAATAAAAAATGTTCTCTTGATTGTTCTGTTTCTGACAGTTGCATTTAAATTACGTCTCAAACTCATTAAAACTTTTTATTTTAGCTTTCTGGGGAAAACAATTTCAGCTAATTAAAAACTCAAGTTTCTAATGATTAAAAGTATAGATTTAATATATGTAAGTTAAAGTCATCTAAAGTACGCATTTAATTTTCCATTCCAACTTTTAAATTTTATTTTTGGGTGCTAATACTAATATCCGTTTATGTATTTTTCAGTGTAATTGTTATTGGTCCTTTACATCGTATACCCTAGATGGTATATGAACTCTGTTTTCCTTGAAAAATCTTGTTTGAGACTGCCATTTCTCCTGGTTCATACTTTTCTGACGTATTAAGTTGTTAGTAACCCTCTGCCATCAATAAGTTAACCCATTAAGCCCATCACACTTGATCTCTTGTTGATTTTTTTTTCCTTCCTTTACATACACAGGAAGTGCTTGGAGCTTCTTTACGTTTTCCAAACGCAGCTGGCTCTGAAACTGCTCCAGTGCCTGAGAGTCACGGATGCTCCTCACTTCTATGGCCTGCCATCCCTCGAGAGGACCTTACGAGGGATGGCTCATCTCACAGCATCTCCAGGATGGAGCTCACATTCTCCTCTCACAAAGCCACTTGAAATTTGTGTTAAGTACTTGTCAGGTCTCCTTGAAGTAAGTAAAAATAACCGGTGACTATAACAACAATAATAACAACTCCCAAAGAATAGCTATTTACTATTTTTTATAGTATTTATTGATTGATTGATTGATCACTCCCTTTGTGACACGCACAATGTTAAGTGCATTATATGTATCACTATATTTAATGCAGATTATTATTCAGTATTCATATGATTCATCATAATGGTTAAATGTTTTAATGATTTTTATTAACAAATACGTAAGATCACTTTCAGAACACACTAATTTTCAAGAAAAACTAAGGCTTACATTTAAGTCCCCTCATTAGGGTAATTTATTTATTTATTTATTAACTTATGTTATTTATCCTTTTTATTTGTGAAATACAACACATATGTGGAAAATACATAAAACATAAATACATAGTTCAGGCATAACATAGTGAACCATCCCTGATCTAAAAATAGAACATAGCCAGCACCTTGGGAACGTTTGTGATACCCCTTTTCAATCTCTACTCCTCTCCTGGAAGGTAGTTGTTACTTTGAGTTTTACGGTAATCACTTGTTTACATTTCTTGGTAGTCTTACCACTTAATTATGTGTTCATATTTACAACAATTCCTGATTTTTAAAATTTTGTAAAACAGAGTCATATGGCTGCTTTCTTTAATCATTATGCTTAGAAGAGTTATTCATTCTGCTGCCTATAGGTAGAGTTAGTTTAATTTATTTTTGTCTAGTACTCAGTACACTACAATGTTGAAGGACATTTGGGTTTTCTTATTCTAATTTAGAGCAATTTTGGATCCTGCTTCAGTAAATATTCTTGTCTCTACATGGAAATAAATTTTTGATATTTTATTTTCTAAGTATTGTTGAATATATGGAAATTTACTCAGTTTTTTTATATTAACCATATACCCAGCCATCCTTGTTTCCAAACTCAAAGGAAAGGCCTTTAATTTTTCACCTTTTCATCATGCTGTTTATGGTAGTTTTTTCAATTAAAGAAAAATAAGATTAAGGAAGTTTCCTTCTAGTTCTACTTTGCTAAGTGTTTTTTTTTTTATTTTAACTCATAGATGTATAGTGCTTTTTCTGTATCTTTTAAGATAAACATATGATTTTTTTCCTACAACCTATTAAGGTGGTGGATTAGATGGATCCATTTAAAAATGTTAAGCAAGCGTCCATTTCTGGGAGAATTTCAACTTAGGTTACGACGTATTCTTCCATTTATTTATTTATTTAATTTATGATGTAGTGTTCCATGATTCATTGTTTGTGCATAACACCCAGTGCTCCATGCAAAATGTGCCCTCTTTAATACCCATCCCCAGGCTAACCCATCCTCCCGAATATTGCCTCGGATTCACTTCTCCGCACGTCCTGCCTTCCAGAAAGTGGTCGCTTTTCTGTTCAGAGAGTTGTTGCTATTCTTTTCTTCGATCTCCTGTTGAGTTCACAGGTGTTCAGAATGGTTTGATCCCTATCGAGCTGAATTCCTGGGACCAGACGAAATCCAGGTCTCCTACTCCTCTGCCATCTTGCTCCACACCCCCCTTCCTTTTATATATTAAAAGATTTGATTTGTTAATGTTTTTAGAATTCTTCCAATTTTCTTTTTTTTATTATTATTATTATGTTATGTTAATCACCATACATTACATCATTAGTTTTTGATGTAGTGTTCCATGATTTATTGTTTGGGTATAACTCCCAGTGCTCCATGCAGAAGGTGCCCTCTTTAATACCCATCACCAGGCTAACCCATCCCCCCTCCCAGAACCCTCAGTTTGTTTTTCAGAGTCCATCGTCTCTTATGGTTCATCTCCCGCTCCGATATCCCCCCCTTAATTCTTCCCCTCCTGCTATCTTCTTCTTTTTTTTTTAAACATACAATGTATTATTTGTTTCAGAGGTACAGATCTGTGATTCAGCAGTCTTGCACAATTCAGTTCTTCCAATTTTCTTATGCAGAGAATGGTTTTAGAATTACTGCATGTCTTCTTTCTCATAAAACTTTATTTATTTATTATTTATGAATGAATGAGAGAGAGAGCACGTATGCACCAGAGAGAGAACACAAGCAAGAGGAGTGGCAGGGACAGAGGGAGAGGGAGAAGCAGACTCTCCGTTGAGTAGGGAGTCCAAAGTGGGGCTTGATCCCAGGATCTTGGGATCATGATTTGAACCCAAGGCAGATGCTTAACCTACTGAGCCACCCAGGTGCCCTCAGATTTTAATATCAAAATTAGCCTACTTTTTATGCATAATTTTTTTTTTATTTACCTTCTTCCCCCCTTTGGAATAGTTGATTTGAATTGGTGGTATTTCTTTCTTAAATGTTTAGTAGAATTTGATGATGAAGCAATCAGACCTGGAGTTTTCTTTTGGGGAAGATTGTAAATGAATTGAACGAAATGAAATGAATTTAAATCTAGAATTCTGAGATTTTTAATTTTTTGTGTCAGTAAGGTATGTTTTTCTAGAATTTCATCTAATTTTTGAATTCATAGCTCTAAAATTATCCATCAATGCAGCTCATTCTTTACATGTATGTCAGGTTGACAGTGAGGTCTCGTTGCATTCCAGGTATTACTCCTTCCCTCTAGTTTTCTTGATTAGTCTTACTGGTAGGTTTGTATGTTTTATTGTTATCATTCTTTTCAAAGAATGAATTTTGGCTTTGTTGATACTCCCTTTAATGTTTTTCACCATTTTATTAATTTTTGCTTATCCTTATTTCTTTCTCCTTTGGGTTTAATATATGGCTCTTTTTCTGAAAAATTTTTTAATTAAAAAAAATTATTTATTTTAGAGAGGGGGAGGGGCAGATAGAGAGAGAGAGAGGGAGAGTCCCAAGCAAACTCTGTGCTGAGGGCGGAGCCTGATGCAATGCTCAGTCACACAACCCTGAGATCATGACCTGAGGGAAACCAAGAGTTGGTCGCTTAACCAACTGTGCCACCCAGGTACCCCCCTTTATTTCCGGTATTTTAAGATAGAGTCTTATTTCATTGATTTTTTAAAAAGCTTTTTTTCAAGTATTTTTACCTGTCATTACCTTCTAATAAGCATGGCCTTAACTTTATTTAACACATTATGATATGTCCCATTTTTATCATTTAGGTCAGTATAGTTTCAGTATGATGTAATAAATATAGCAATGATGTAGCTATACCTAGTTCTGTAAGAGAAGAGCTTCACCAGGGTTCCCTCCCAGCCTTGCATTTATGCATGTAGTCCACAGAGGGAAGGCTTAATCATAGCTGATCTAAGTCTTGAAAAAGTTCCTGTGATCTTTCTGGAACATGAGAACATGGGAGGCTTGTGAGGACCTGCTATAAGACTGTTTCTTACTTGCTTTGCTCTCTATAGGGATGTCTGTCATGAACCTATTTCTTATTGCCTCCTGGGTTTTGATGAGTGGGCTTTCTGCCTCAGTTCCCTTGGGCTACAGCTGCAGGCCATGAGCAGCTTAGCTGCAGCGGGGCATGAGCTCCTCCATAACAGAGTACCCTACTATCCACGTTGCTATCATCTGGCCCCTCTATTTCTGTGTCACCCTGTAAGGACTGGGAGCTGGCACCTTTGGCTACTAATGCTTTTGCTGTTTATGCAACTAATAAACTGTCTGAATCTAAAAAATGGCTCATAGTTTCCTTATTGACCAAATCTGTCAGCATTGCTTGTCTTGAAAGTTTCAGTGATATCCCGAGTTTGAATGATAGTCAGAGGCTGGGATCTTTAACTTTTAGGATGTCAGGAAAGTCTCTTAGAGGAGGCAGTGTAGAGATAGATTTTGAAAGATGAATGATCTGATCGATAGTGATGGGCATTCTAGACATGGGATATTCTGACCAATTTGTATCCATCACTTCCTGTTCCTTTTCCCGCCGCACACTCCTACTTGTTGTCTAGCCGTCTACCTACCACCAGATTATCCTTTAAAAACAGAAGCCTTTCAACCCAAAGCTCTTTTTCAAGTGCATATGGCTCTTTGTAATCTTGCATTTTAAATCTTATATCTGTTTTAATTTATTCCCATGTCTCTGAAGTTTCTGTTTTATTTGGCTCTTTTCACTAAATAAAAAAGTTTATTTTAAAAGTCTATTCATGTAATTTCTTCTCTTTTTCGGGTGGCAGTCTGTACACAAAGTTTAAGATCTCACTTACTCATTTACCTTCCTTAAGGAAGTCTTATCTTCTATACATGCACACTCAGTAAAGAGTGACTGACTGGTCTCTTTGGTTGTGTACCTGCAGCAGTTTGTATGGGCCACTATTATGGTGCTTAAGACATTGTATTTCTATTTTGTTTTATGTGTTTATCTATTAGACTGTAAGCTTGTGAGAATCATCACTGGATCATTTCCACTTTCCCATAGTTCCCCTTTATCCTAACATAGTGATTTGTACATATTGGAGAAATAGTAATTTAATTTATATGTATCTTATGTGTGATTTTTAGAGTACAGTTTGAATTAATATTGAAAATGTGATATAAATGAATGTAAGTGATGATGTGTGTTTAATTTTTGTGCTTTTATTATTAAATCATGCTTTAGGTGATGTATATTCAGCTGTAAACCATGTTTCAGATGATGTTACCTAGAATTTTTCCCAAAAGTACATCTTATTTTGTTAAAAAGTTTTCAAAATCCTAAATACTATTAGGTGTACTATAAAATTTAATATGAATTTTAGTGTAGCCATTTTAATCAAATAAATTTTTTTCTTGGATAATTATAAATACTGAAAAAGTACACACTGACAGTATATTAATTAGTCCCAAACTTCAACATGTCCAGAAATGTATGCATTTTTAGAAAAGTTATGTTAGCTTAGAGGTCTTACCATAATATTTTTTAAAAAGTCAGATCCTCTAATGCATTTAAAATATAATTCAGTATAAAGTACCTAATTTACAGCATTATGTCTAATGTGATTTGTATATACTCCATTTATAAACCTTTTAGAACCCATCTCTTCTGTGAAGTGACTTTTATCTGTTTCAGATCAGGGATATGTGTAGGTCTGCTACAACAGTGACTAAAGAAGCTAGTGCTAACATTGTTTATATTTGGAAACTATCCGGAGTGCTTGTATTTTTAAAATTGTGTAAGAGGAGAGATTTCAGATCACACCTCATGTTTCAAATACCAGAAATTAAAATGAGCTTTCTCGGTGTTGGAGAACAAAAGGGCTTCTTAGTTCTGTGAGAAGTCGAGGCAAAAAGGCAGTAATGTCATTCTAAGTTCATTTGTCTTTGAGGTGATAAAAATCAACACAATGTATTAGCTAAGGAATAGATTAAGACGTACAATCCCTGTTTTATAATGTTCCACTGATTAACAAATCTTGATTTGGTATAAACACATTTCACGCTTTATACAGTGTCTTGGGAAGAAAATCTTTTTGTCTTCACATTAAGTGACAGGAAAATAATATGAAGATGTCTGTCACTTTTGTTAGACACTGTGGCAGAGTCCCATTAAATCTTACTTGGGACCTTTTGCATAATTACATAATTAGTAAACATTTAGATTTATTTATTTTACTACTGGTTAAGTGTATTTTTTTAAAGAATGAAGTAAGGCTTATGTGAATACACATTGAAACAAAGTCATTGTTGGTCCAGAGGACTTGCTGTATAGTTTCTCATTAAAGCTGATTCCTTTTCAGAAGGGAGCCGTGTTTCTAATATAGGTATTTTGTTTTTGCCCAGTGAAATTTGAATGGGAATATTTGCTTTTTGTGGTTGAGAAATGAGGCTTTTAAACTAAGCATGATACATTATGACAGGTGAATAAACTGTCATAATTAAATCCTTAAAATCAGACATACAGAATATAATTCCATGGATCTGACAAAAAGGTCTGATTGAAAGGAGATAGTATTGAAATTCTTGGCTTGTCCTTTATCAGCTAGGCATGAGACCACAATGTAGTTATCTCCAGTGACTTAGAGTAGAATGATAAGGACTTGGTCATTCTGGTATCTTATTTCTAAGATAATCCCTTAAAGTTTTAAACTTTTAATTATGAAAAATTTCAAATATACACCTGAGGAGGGAGTAGTAGAGCAGAGCCCATCACTTAGAGTTTTTAACTCCTGGACAGTCTCGTTTTATTTTTCAGACATAATATACACTTATTTGGTTTATGAAAATTCTGACGTAGCTCACAGATCCCAAATCATCTTCAAATAAATTGCTTTTGTTAAATAAGCTGTACCAAACATTTATGATTTATGGTCTTTTTAAAATCATCTGCTGTATGAACTGAAAAAAATCCAAACTAGAAAGTAGTCTCTATTTTAAGACAAAATGACTTACTTCAAAGGATGCTGTGATGAATAAAAGCATTCAGAGGCCTTGGGTGAATGAACTGAAATACTTTTTATTGTATTGGTCAGATAAGTTTTTAAAATTTTTTAAAAATTATTTTTTTTAGAGAGCCCATGATTTGGGGAGGAGGGGCAGAGGGAAAGAGAGAATCTTAAGCAGCCTCCACGCACAGTGCAGAGCCTGATGCTGGGCTCGATCTCACTACCCTAAGACAATAACCTGAGCAGAAATCAAGAGTTGGTCACTTAACCGATTGAGCCACCCAGGCACCCCAATAGAGTTTTATATAAGTAGCAATTTCTAAGTATAGTTTTCAATAAGATATTTATAAGCTCTTTTACTTAAAGGATACTATAACACTTAAAAAATGTATGAGCATATTCTACATCACAAAAGTCTCCTAGGAGGATACTACATACCTTTGTACAAGTTCCAAAGAGAGAAAATTTTAAACTAACAATATTTAATTGTGGTAGCAACCTAAAATATACCATCTTAACCATTTTGAAATGTGTAAACTATAAGAATGTTACATATACTTTATGTGGTTAGGATTCAAATCAGACAAGTTAGTAGAAAGTTAAATGTTTATTTTTATATACCACTCAGAGTAAAGCCACCATGATATTGTTTATCCTTGTTTTCTCAGGTCATTACTTCTTTTTATGTGGAGCGTGGAGGAAATGCTATGTCCTTTATGGGAAAAGGCGTCACAAAGAGCACAGTTCTTTGCTTGCTTCACTTATCCCACGAGATGATGATCCAGGCCCAGAGCTCGGTGAGAGCATTAAAAGCTGCTGTCTTCTGAACGCATGCTAGACAAGGAATGTGCTGTGTCTCACACATTTCAGGCCTATATGAAAATGTTTCTTTTGACTTTTCTTCTTAGACAAAAATGATTTTTTGACTGAGATGTTTCTTAGAAGTTGTATATTACACAAATCTGAATTTTATTTGAAATTTGATTGAAATGTGCGTGCTGTAGAGAACTACATTTTTGTCTAAATCATGCAGGGAATAGTTCTGAAGAAAAATTATTTTGTTTAACTTTCTAAGAAGAAGCTGAGATTTTTTTTTTTTTTTTTTGGCCTTGTTTTGGTTAAATACCGAATGAAAGCCAAGTCTTAAGTACATTTTAACTTTGTTTTGATTTTTAAAAATTCAGTTATTTAAACTTCCTCTGTTTTATTCTTAGAAGCTTACCTAATGTGTCTCTTCCCTTTTTTTCATTCTAGGAGTGGATGTCACTTTGGTTCTTGCCTTTGGGTACTCACAGTGAAGAGCATGCTCGTACTCAACAAGGACTGGCTTGGTTGATTCCATTATGGGTTGATCGAGACCCAGAGGTCAGTGTGAGGGAAAGTCGAGTCCATTATGTGGGATTAAAAACAAATGAAACAAAATCTGTATGCATATATGTGAATTCATATTTTCCACACTGAGATTATTTTAGTGACTTATACCTTAAGCTGTTTACTCCCTGTCTTAGTTTGGGCTTCCATAACACATAACATAGGTGACTTGAAACACAGAAATTTATTTTCTCATAGTTCTGGAGGCTGGAAATCTGAGATTAAGGTGTCAACATGGTTGACATGGTGAGGGCTCTCCTTTCTGGCTTTCAGACAGCTGCCTTCTCACTCTGCACTCAGTGACCTTTCCTTTCTTCCTCCTCTTATAAGGCCACCAATCCCATCAGATTAGGACCCTACCCTTAAGACCTCATTTAACCTTAATTACCTTCTAAAAGCTCTGTCGTCAAATTTAGGTACATTGGGGGTTAGGGCTTCAATATACCAATTTAGAGGGGATACAGTTCAGTTCATAGCAGACCCTTTTCAGTCAAACTCATTAAAGTACAGACTAAAAAATAGAAAAAAAGAAAGGATCATAGAATCTTTCACTTTTAGAAAGAAGAGTGAAAAATTAATGGAGAAACCTAGCCATTTCCAATGAGTTTAGAAGGATAGCTGCGAAATGACATTAGTGTGTCATTTAATACAATAATACCATTGCAGTGCAAAATTTTATATTAATAAAATTTCCAGTTTTAGCCATTTGTCCACTTACTTCTTTTCTTAAAAACCACTTTATTGAGGTATGATTGACATACAAAAAGCTGTACATATTTAATGTGTACAGGTTCAGGAATTTGGAGATAAGTGTACACCCCTGAAATCATTACCACAATCAGTGTTGTAAACATATCCTTCACCTACAAAAGTTTCCTCCTGTCCTCTATATTGTTTATTTTTGTGATTAGAATACTGAACATAAGATTCATCCTCTTAGCAAATTTTTAAGTATATAATACAGTACTGTTAACTGTGGGCACCATCCGTTAAATTCAAGCAAGCAATGATTATATTCTATTCCACTAAAAACCTTGATTTTTAGAAACGCTATTTGATCTGAACCTAGAGGTTCCATTCTTTGTACACATTGAACTTGGACTTGTTGCTTGACCATGTTATGACTACATTATTTTTTGTTACCCTGTAGCTATCAGTGAAACTTTTAGAATCAGAATTCAGAAATGAACCAAAATGCATAGCTTGAGCAGCAGTGGGACTATGGTAAACGTATTATACCTCATCAATCTTACTTGAAACATTCTTCTTTTTAGTAATTTTGGAGAAAATACTAAATGCTTTATAAAAAGATAGTTATTTCTTTTTGAAAAGAAGTTTCAAAAAAGTTAAGTCAGTTGGAAGAAACACTAATAACTTAAGGATGGTAGAACAAAATAATAGATAAGCTCTTTAAAAATGAGGAATAAACAGGAATCATGTTCATAAAAGATATGTAAGCACCCGATGCTTTCTCTAGAAAGAGGTTTGTGAGTTATAATTTTTATTCTTACTTATACCTGGTTTTAATTTTCTGTGACATTTGCTTATTTGAATTGTGGAATAGGATTTTTATTCATATATAAATTTATAGGGCACTATTTTCTGTAAGTGCCTTTTATAATTTAGGATCATCAGTGTCATAAAAGTATGATCTCTTATGTACCAGAAAAATTCATAATCCATGTTAGGGAATTGGATTCTTTGATTTGACAACTTTTCTTTAATCTGAACAGGTGAGGTTTACTTCGCTGGGATTAGGATCAGCACTGACCACCCTTGAAACTGGTTGTATGGCATTGTCAAACAGTTGTCAAAACATTTCTGGTGGGCTCTGGGGAACGGTGGTGAACATTCTTCTGGACCAGTCGGAATGTAGTATGGTGCGCCGGGAGGTATGGCTGTCCCTTTAGCACTTCCTCCCCTTTCAACCGTAGAAATTCGTTGTGATGGTCTTTAAAAATCATACTCTCTTTTCAGCACTGTGGACTGATCACCCACCGTGATCTTTTCTGCCTGCAAAAACACCCAAATAAAATGATATCAGAGAATAAAAAAGATACTAATTCACAGTAAATACTGGAGTCCTTTATTTTGACAAAATCAAAGCTGAATTTGCTATATTTTATACAAACTCTTCTATATAATTACACATTGAAAGGTAGTTCACAGAAAAAAATTACTTTTCTGTTACCTCAGTGTGTATGAGTAATATCCATAAAGCTTTACTTGGGACGAGTGGCTGTCAGAATACTCTGTAGTAGTTACCCTGTGACCTAAGAGGAAAAATAAACCCTACTTTAAATCTTTGTAAATAATTTGTGGTTTTCTTTTGTTGCTGCTTTTCCTGAAATGATGATTGATGCAAATATTTTTAAAAACAGTAATGAAATAGTGATTAGAGGCTTATGGAGGAAGCAGCAGCTCCAGGGCCCACCATTTGCCAGTATTCGGTTCCAAAATCCAAATGCTGTAATTTTCTTGTTATTTGTTTTTTAATAGTAATGCTTAAACTTGTAGCTTCCTCTTGATTTACCAATTTTTAAAGATATCTACTGACTTAAGATGGTTGAAAATTTCACTCTCTTGGATCCCCTCCGTTACCCCTGTTATTCACCCTCATATAGTCATCTTCACTGTATAGATGACCAGTGTTCATACTACTAAGATTATTTAATTTGACCATCTTCAGGACGTGGAAGGTAAAGTTGGACATTTGTGGCTTGTATTTTTAGTTAGGACTTTTTTACTGAGAGGAGCTTGTATGAGGGAGAGAAAGAGAAGGGTGTGTGTGTGTGTGTGTGTGTGTGTATAATAATAGAAACATGAAAGTGTATTTCTTAACTGCTACCAGAACAGTTTATATTTTATATTTTATAGATCATTTTTTTGGAAAAATAAAATTCTGAAATGGGGAAAAGTCTATTTCCTGATGAAATAATTTCACCCACTGTTAGGTCATCATATAACAAGCAATGAGCTCTCATATTGATGTCTCAGCATGTGCAGTTGCCCAGTGATGTGTTTTTTATTATTAAATTTCAATATATTGGTTATTTCAGAGATGACAACAAGGTGGCAGTATTGACATTTTCTTTTTCTTTTTTTTTTTTAAGGCTGCATTTATTCTTCAGAATCTCCTTGTAATTCCAATGCCTTCAGTAATTATAAAGGATTATACCTGGCAGGTGGGTGACTTTAAACAGTTATCAAGCTAGTAGATATTTGAGATTAATTGATAAAGTTTCAGCATGTGTATATATATATGTATATCTCTGTCATTACTGTTGAAACTATGGCAACAACATCTCTTAAAAGAGAATGTAGAAATTTTCTTATACTTGATCAGATTTACAAATTTTTCTCTGTAATGTTAAAGATAATTTTGAGCAGAAATAATAGCTAACATGGTGTTTACCATGTACAGAAATAATAATAGCTAATACAGTGTTTATTATGCACTCTTCTAGGAGCCTAACAATATTTAACTTAATAATTAACTTGTGTAATTGTTTGAATTCTGAACCACTAATTATTTTCATTTTGTAGATTAAAGAAATTTAGCGCAGAAGGTTTAAATAGTTTGCCCTGATTCACACCTTTGCTTTGAGTCTAGCTAGTCTCTCTTACCCACTCATTATACTGCCTCTCTAATTTAATAATAATACATAAATTTGTTTATGGTTAAGAATGCATTAATGTTAATGTATTTTTTCCTTTTCTGGATTAGCGCAGTTAAGGTCATAAGTTATCTTTCTTTGGTTTTTACTGGATTAATTTTTTCTGAAAATCAAGTCTGGTAGTACCTAACTTTTTTATAGCCTGCTGCTTTTTAGATGATTTGGAGAATAGAAAAGTGCTGTCATTGGGGAGATAAGATATGCTCTTTCTCTGTGTGTGTTTACTAATCATACTGTTGCATCTCACTCTCCAAGATCCTAGACAAATCCAAGGTTTCTTTTAAATTTTCCATTAGAATTCCTTTGCAGGAATTGCTGGATCCACTTGCACCTGCAGTGAGGGCAGCTTTTCAGGCAGTGACCTGAAGCATGGGTCCAGGTCAAGGCCCACATCTCATTTAACTCTTGGAAGGCTCAGTTTTCCACACCTGACACATCCAGCTTAACTCTGCTAGTTATGGAAAATCATAGGCCACTTTTCTACTTGTTCCTCTAATTTGTGTCACATTTTCTTCTGATAATGGTTGCTTATTCGTAGTCTGCATTGTAATAAAACCATAGGAGACAAAACTGGAAGGAATACACAGGATTAATATTTATGTTAATGGTGTAGTAGTTTTGATGCTTGTTATACAATAACTAGATTTTAAAATGTGTTGTTTTTGGCTCAAATACTCAAATCATCTCTAGTCCCATTGTTAAACTAGTGACACTTGTGTTTTATATGCTTGGTAATGTAATGCCGATGAATTTTTTATTGTTGAAATAAATATATAAAAGCAAGAGTAATACTACTTCTGGGCTCTATTAAAGCTCTTGTGACATTTTGTTATAATATAGAAGCATGCAGAGATGTTCATGTTTTTCTCTTACAAGTTAAATAGTATACAGTTCCTTTTTGTTGCTAGTGACATGCTTACTGCAGCTTTTGGTTTTATTATTCTCCACTTCTTCGCCATAGAATTAATTTTCTACTAAAAAGTTGAAAATAGTCCTTTTTTTTTTTTTTAAAGATTTTATTTATTTGACAGGGAGACAGAGAGAGAGAGGGATCACAAGCAGGGGGAGCAAAAGACAGAGGGAGAGGGAGAAGCAGGCTCTCCGCTGAGCCGAGAACCTGATGCGGGGCTTGATTCCAGGACCCCAGGATCATGACCTGAGCCGAAGGCAGACACTTAACCGACTGAGCCACCCAGACGCCTGAAAATAGTGCTTTAAATGAGCTTTTGGAGTCTTTTGCCTTGCTTATTATGGCCAGAATCAAAATTTTTGAGAGCTGCTCTAATTCAAAATAGTATTTGATGATGAAACTTTTGCTAGTCTTAAGCAAAATTAGAAAAATAAGCTTGTTTTTTTGTGTTTTTAATAAGCTCCGATTTTCTTCCTCTCTTTTTTTTTGATCTGGTTTTTTTTGGTCATTATTTTTGGTTTTTAAGTGTCCTTAGCACTATGAAGAGTTGGTAGCCACATATTTGTCCCCCTGGTTTTTTTTAAATATTTTATTTATTTATTTGACAGAGAGAGAGCACAAGTAGGCAGAGAGGCAGGCAGAGGGAGAGGGAGCAGCAGACTCTCCACTGAGCAGGGAGCCTGACGTGGGGCTCAATCCCAGGACCCTGGGATCATGACCTGAGCCGAAGGCAGCCGCTTAACCGACTGAGCCACCCATGCGTCCCTGTCCCCCATTTTAAAAAAAAGTTTAGTGGTACTTTAAATCCCAAAGTGAAAACAGCTGTTCCAAGAAGGGAGCAAAATAGTCTTCAAATACTTCAGTGGACTTTTATAATCTCCAGGAGGTTGTGACCTTTGCCTTTCTATTACATCTAGAAAGAAGGTGCTACAAATCCAGTATTCTAAAACTTAAAACTGTCTTTGGTAGAATGATGAATAATAATCTTATTCAAAAAATGTTATATTCACTTGTCTTTATGTATATTTCACAGTATTTTGAGGATAGAGCAGGAAGCAGCACCAGTATCTAGAAGCATTGTAAATATGTTAATTTGGTTGAGGTAGATATTTCATTAATTATGTTTTACAAAGAGAATTGCTTTTACTGCTTTCCACTTCGTTTTGATGCCTGAAGTCTAAGTTGATACGCTCTGTACTATTGCTCCGCTGGGCATTCTGCAGTGTTCTTTTTGTGATTACTGCCCCTTTCCAAATTCTTTTCCTACACACCCAGAATAAATTCCTATTTCATGTCACTTCTGGAATTGTTGTACTTTTGAGTGGTAATAATTCACATATATAAATTATGTAACTGGTTTTATTGCTGACTGCTAGAAAGTTTAGAGCCTTCCTATCAAATGTGGCTTATCTGGTATATTGTTTTTTGGCTTTATTCCTGGTTCTGATATTTTCATACCTTTCTTTTTCTTTCTTTCATTCCTGCTATACTTTCACTATCATGTTATAATTTACCTTTCCTTGTAATAGGCCTTAAATCTTTTCTGGAACAAGGTGAGGCATAAATCACTTAAAACATTTTAATTTTAAAAGTATTTATTAAAACATACTCTCAGTAAACCATATAATCCATTTTAACTTTCTTTAATCAGACACAGCATTTAATATATATATATCAATAATTTAGGTTCTTTTTCATGTACTAACTTTATTGCCTTTGTTTCTCTCTTTTTTTTTTAAGATTTTATTTATTTGAGAGAGAGAGAGTGAGAGAGAGGGAAAGCACAGAGGGAGAGGGAGAGGTAGAAGCAGACTCCCAGCCAAGTAGAGAGCTCGATGTGGGGCTCGATCCAGGACCCTGAAATCATGACCTGAGCCATAGGCAGATGCTTAATCACCTGAGCCATCCAGGCGCCCCTGCCTTGCCTTACTTCTTACCAATTAATCTGTCTGTGTAGAATGTATGTGACCATATTTTTCATGTATTTCTTAAATGTTTCTCTCAGCCCCCATCCCAGACATGATAGTGCTTCATTAGTCTTTGCTAGTGCATAATGATATTGCTAAGTAAATAAAGTTAAAAATCAGGTCTTAAGTTTTGTAGGATGGTTCCCCACTTATTGGTGCATGGATACAGAAGTGTGGTGGATGTGGGCAGTCCCCAGGAGCAGGGGAAGAGAAGGAGCCTGACTTCAGTGCAGTTTCCCTCAGCACCCAACACCTTAGGGGCCTGAAACGCTGGCTCCTACTGCAATGAGAACTGAGTTTTTGGTGTATCAGTCCTGGTGTGCATCAAAGTACTGTTTTTTGCTTTTCTAAAAATTTATTTATTTGAGAGAGAGAGAGCACACGTGCACACGAGTGGGGGTTGGGGCAGAGGGAGGGGAAGAGAGAGAAAGAATCCTCAAGCAGACTCCCCGCTGAGCATGGAGCTGGACACCGGTCTCTATCCCAGGATCCTGTGATCGTGATCTGAGCTGAAATCAAGAGCTGGCCGCTCAACCAACTGGGCCACACAGGCGCCCCTCAAGGCACTGTTTTTTTTTTGTTTTGTTTTTTGTTTTGATTTTTATATAATTTTTTATTGTTATGTTAGTCACCATACAGTACATCATTGTTTTTGATGTAGCTTTCCATGATTCATTATTTGCATATAACATCCAGTGTTCCATGCAATACGTGCCCTCCTTGATACCCATCACCGGGCTCCTCACCCCCCAAACCCCCTCCCCTCTAAAACCCACAGTTTGATTCCCAGAGTCCATAATCTCTCATGGTTCATCTCCCCCTCTGATTCCCCCCCTTTCATTTTTCCCTTCCTTATTTTTTTTTTTAATTTATTTTTTTTATTCTTATGTTAATCAAGGCACTGTTTTTTAAGAGTGATGCTATAAATACTGGTCTTCCCTTCTTGAAGGCTACAGCCTTCTCAGGCAGAGAAAACAGAATCATTGTCCATGGGGCTCTAAACTCTCATGCTCCCAGCTCTCCAGTCTCTTGTAAACCGGTTCTCTACAGTCTGACTTGGATTTAGTACTCTTGTATGTGGAAGGTTCTGTTGCCTGGTTTAGTTTGAGAACCATTGTCACAAACCCATATCCCTGCAACTTTAATAACCAGAATGGGATTTTAGAGTTGATTATAACAAATTTATTAGCTAGATAGGGATAATCTATGTAGTTTGAGTTCATTTCTGTAAACATTTGTTGAGTACCTAAATTTTGGGGCCTCACAGGTAATCAGATTTAATTCTCTGGGGCTTATGGCCTGTGGGAGAAGACAAACATGTACCCAGGGAACATTGCTATAATATTTTATGTAGAATCATGTTAGCTTATGCATAATTTTTATAATATTAAAGTTGTTCTTTCCACTTGAAAATGTTATCACACATTTAAATGGAAAGATAATTTCATGCACTTAAATATAGTGACTTGTCAGTTTGTGGTGTAAGTACACTTGTTTATGCTTTAGTTCCTTTCCACATTTATTAGAGGACTTTGACTTGTCTATTTTTTTAACTTTATTTTGAAAAAAATTAATCTTATGTAAAAGTTGCAGAAACAGTACAATTTTTATATACCTTCCCAAATGTTAAA